AAAGGTCGTCCCCCCCCCCCCCCCCGCAAGATGATGATTACTAAAATCCAGCGGCTTTATAATGGGATCAACTACAACTGTCCCTTGGTTTAATTTTCTCTCAATTAATGCCTTCTAAGCATCATCATGTTCAACAGATAAATGATCCAAACTCATGATATGCCAGTTTTGTTGTTATTTTCAAGATAAAATTTTATTATTTCACAGAGATCTACTTGGACACATTCCTAAACAGCATTCTTAGACTTTGAAGAAGTGTGCTGTAAGTTCTTTGCTTTTTCATAGTGGGAGGGAAAAAATAAAAATAAACCCATACCTGGATTTAATTACAGAGGAAAAATTTAAGTGTTTGAAATCTTTCATGCTTCCAGCATCCCTAATACAGCATTCAAGTTTTCTTCTGAAGTACAAGTCATCTTTATTTTCAAATCGATTTCAGTTGTAAGAACCTATGCCATGCTCCTCTTGGACATGGATGAATTTAAATTTAGCCTTTACCTTCAGTGCTTGGAATCTCTCCATGGTAATGGCAGATTTTCAACAATATTCCAGTGATCAGATCTGTGGAGCTCATCTCCTCCCTCCTCCCACCCCAGCCCTTTAATCTTACTGAAGGAAATTAGAAAGAAAGTTGTCTTACCGATAACTCCAAGGTTAATGTCCCTTGCGAACCCCACCTAGCAAGTCGACATCATGACATGTCAGGTCAGCCTCAACCACGCTTCCCTGATAGTCAGGTAAAAGGAAGGAGTTAAAATACAAAATTGACACTTGCAGATTTCTGGACATCAGAAAATGTGATGCAATATATTCTGAACTGTCTTTCAGAGCTTCTGGTAACCTCCAAGTTGTTAAAACATTTCTTCAGAGGGATTCTCCTGTTCTAAAATTTCAAAAGTTCCTGATGAATAACCAAATACTACAGATCCACCTTGACTATTTTGTTTGAATGAGAGCAAAAGCTTAAGATTTCCCTTTCATGTGAATGATTTTTTTTTTTTTCCCCCCCTTCTCTACACATTTCATCAACTAATACACGCTCAACTTAGCCATTCTGGGTTTCAAGACATTTTAAGCCAATAGACTATGACAGCTTCATTTAAAGTCTAAGTTAACAGAAGCTCTAACTTTTTTTTTTTCATTTAGAAAAAAACAGGAAACACCACTTGGTCCACTCTTTCTATAAGGCTTTGATCTACTTAAGTAGTTCATGTGAATGACAGAATTCAATCTAGCAAACCCTCACTGTACAAGTGATCCTTAATCACACAACTAGTCCAACTCAAGTCATGCACAATCAAAGATTATTCATGACAGACTTGTAGGATAGGGTCCTTGCTGTTCTACATATAGGTCACCATCATTTTTGGATAACAATTAAGTATTGCTGAAAATATATATGTCTGCATTAGAGTCTACACGCTGAAGTGCCAAATGTGTTTACTAAGAGGCTTAAGACTTTTTTTGCTCAATACTTCACATCTATTTTCTGCTAGCCTTATAGTAAGAGTGCTTTCTGTGTTTTTTTTTTCTGTGTAGTTCACAATACAGAAATGGGCTTCATGTCCAAATGCAGAGGGGACAAAAAGTGGTCAGGTTTTTATACAGTCACCAAAATCATGTGGTGATCTTCTACTTAAGAGTTTTATTTTGAAAAGGTTTAAGCAATACAGTTGTCATTCTTTAATAATTAGACTAAAGAAGCCAAGTCCTGAAAACAAACAATTGCTACAAAAAATTGAACCTTTGTAACACTTTGAAAAAATGCAGACTATGTTTAATGAATTAGTAAAACTAAAAGCTGAGTTTAGTGAACTGATTTTGTTAATAATGTGAAAGTAAGTCTATAATAACACAATAGCTGTAAAAATCTTTTGCTCAAGTTTTGGAATTGCTAGGAATCTGGCAACCTACTTATTTTTAAGTCAAACACCTTAACAATACAGACATTTAAGCAACTGCTATAAATGAGTGATCAAATGATTATTAAATCCCATTTCATGGCTCCTCCTCCAAGACCAGCAGGACACTCGTAAAAATTTAATATTGGTTTGCAAGTTGAAATCCATTTTCAACATAGTTTATGAGAATTTTTGCTAAGTTATACTGAAGAAACAATCAAAACAGATGCACGAGAGAAATTTAAATTTATTTTTTGTTTTGACTATGTATCAAAATTGTGCTGAGAAGATAGTGCAAAATTCTTCCCTTGAGTATCTGTCATCAGGCATGGTAGATTTTTTCACTGTGCTACAGTATCTTTGTTCAATAATTATTTTTTTCCCAATAATTTTGTTAATTTCTTCAAGTTCAGTATATACCACTACTCGAGTAAGTTGTAGTACGCATTATCTTTAAGGATTCAGTAAAGCACTGTTGCAAGTTTAAATGGTGTTTTTGAGTATCCATAAAACCAGGTAAATCAAAGAACTTCATATATCTTGTAAATATAAACTTTTACTGGTTTTAATTTTCATTTATAAAAATGTATAGCTCACTTCTCATATTCAATAAAAATATTAGGATAAATGACGATTTGGGCAGAAATAAATACAAGATGCAGCTTTACAGTTCTCGAGGAAGACAATTTTAACATTTTTGTTCCTTAGTTGGTTTTGTAAACAGTGTAATTGAAGTGTTTCACTTCCTCCCCACACCCCCCATGAGCATGCACTGGCACTTCACCTCTCCTGGGCTAACACTTGAAACGCGCAGTACGCATACACTATCTGTCTTCCACATTGGACAGTACTTTAAATTTTACTCCAATTAAGCTCCCTTCTACCAGATCCCCTCTACAACAATTACTGAAAAGCACATACTTATTGTGACCACAGGGTTCTGCTCAATATCACAAAAACTACATAATTACTATAAAGCCATACTTACAGGACAGCAAACCCTTGTGTTAAAACAAATTTACAAGCCAGATCCTTATCACAAGCAAAAGCCTGAAACATATACCCAGGCAATAGCCGTCTGTCTTCACTGCTCAAGTAAAGAACAGAGAGGACAGGATTTGGCCCCATTAACTTTACGAAGTAAAAAAAATTCAAAAACAAAACAAAAAAGGCTTTAACATACTGAATACTAATTTTGAAAAGCACTTCAAATTATTTATGACCAATTCTACTAATTTGAAAGGAAGAGCCTGACAGAGGGGCAAACCCATTTTTGAGAACCAGATATCCACCCTCACTTTAATTCAGGTCAAAACTCACACCATGCAATCCTATATACCAGACCCACAACAGTAAAGCGTGGGAAGGCTCATCTTTCTGTTTACATTCCGACATAATACACTTGAGAGACACCAGACAGGAATAGAAGACAAAGGGAGGAGTATGACCACTGAAGTTTAACTTCCTCAATAGTCTGTGTTTAGAATGCTGTAAATCAAGTATGAGCAATGTATTTGATTTGGATATTTAGAGGTCCAGCAATAGTTTTCTTTAGAGAAAGTTTAAATCCGTTTGTTTCTCTCTTTTCTTGAGAAGCAAATGTTCTTCATTGGGGTACAGAATGGCTCAGATGCAACAGAAGAGTAATGTCATGACTTGCCAGTTAAAATTGACATCTGGGAATGTCCAAGACAAGGGTCAAAGCAACACATAATACCCCAATAATGTAGCTAGTAATGCCCCCAAAAGATATTACATATTTTTTTTAAACAGCCTTTTTTACAAGGCATGAGAATTCTAAGGCAAATTGTTCATCATGGCAGAACATCAAATTAAAATGTCAAGACAGAAATAAGCAGAATATGGAGAGTATGTTTGTGTTATCTGTAGCAAGAAGTTAGTTTACTGTGCCACAGCACCTAATTTATAATTTTCATTCCTAGCCAAATATTATCTTTAATTAGACTAAGATGTTTGAGATCAAAACCATTTCCCTATGTGTTTGTACACTGAATAATACAATATGGCTGGATCCTAACCAAACAGCCTCTAGAGGGACGCCACAGTACATAATAAAAAGGAACAAAATTAACACCATTGTAGGCTCTGCTTCCTTCTCCACATTACATTAGAAGATTATATTTAAATTAGATCTCTGTGAATGTTTGGAGATATTTCAACACTTTTTAAAAGAAAAAAAAAGTCTCAAAATTAGATGCTGGTAAGTTATTGAACAGCAATTAAACAAAGAGTGCCCTTCAGGGTATCTGTAATTTCTCCTAGTTTTCAGTCTGATGTCCACAGTGCTACATGTTGGAAAGCACAAGAAATTTTGCATGAATTTGATCACTCACATAGGCAGTTATACTTTGAAAACAATGTTTTTCGCAAGAATTACCAATGAAATAATGTTTTAGGACACAATTGAATTTGAAATAGGTAATGTTTTGAATAGATTTTTGAGTTTTATTGAAATCTTACATGAACAAGAAATTGGAAATACAATCACATCAAGGAACAAATTGCCACGGCTTTGACGTTTTTAAGCCAAACAAATTTTGTAGGGCAGATTTTCAAAAAGGTGTGAAGTTATAACAATTTAAAAACACAGTTAACCTACTTCTAGGAATGCAAAACATACAATCATGTTATTTTCAATACAAGAAAACTTAATTTGTTGTAATTTCTTAAAACTACTAAGACAAAGCACTAGCTTTTACTTTTATGTACAGCATACTCCTATGTAGTCTATCCCAAATCAAAAAAAAAAAAAAAGAAACTGTCCAAAACCAGAGGTTCTGCAAAATAATGATTGAACAGTGTGCCATTACTGCTTTTAAACTGCTAAAATGAAGCCTAAAATGATAAAAGCATTGAAACCCCATATGGAGTTCAGGAATTCTGCAAGCCCAGTAATGTCCAAGTGCATTTATGAAAAAAGAAAACTAAGAGACTCGAGTATATACACAATAGAGTGATTCTTCAGCCCAATACAAATGGCAGCCAATTGCTACTAAAGGATGAAACATTAAGCCAATTTTGTTTTGAAGGATGTAGAGCTATAGCCAATTCTATGTTTCCAATATTCTCAATCCCTCCTCACTTGTCTACTTCCACTGTTGCCCATAAGTATCCTGATAAAATTCCTGGTTGTCATTATTGTAACCATAGTTACCGGCATAGTCACCACCTTGCTGGAGCGGCTGTTGAGCGATGGGTTGGGAGCCCCAGTTCTGCTGGTTGTTGGTCTGACGGCGCTTGGAATCGGGTTGGTTGTACCCATCTGCCTTTCTCTTGCCTCCTACGTTGCCCCCACGGTTGCCCCTGGCTCCACGAGCACCGCGTCCTCTCTGCTGCTGTGCAGGACCCCCTCTCCCACCCCTGGCTCCTCTTGGCGGTCCCATGGGTGCCCCCCTCTGTGAATAGCCAGCTCTACCTCTTGGTGGTGGTGCTCCCCGCCCCCTAGGTGGTGGAGGGGCACCTCTCCCACCCCTTCCTCCTCCTCCTCTTCCTCTTATAGCATAGCCATCATCATAGCCGTAATAGGGATCTTCATAGCCACCACGGTAGTCATGATAGTCATAACCATAATAATCATCATAATAATCTTCATAGCCATAATAATCTGGGGGATAGCCATATCCACCTCTCCCTCCACGGCCTCTGCCTCTAATAGGAGGTGGCATGCGAGGTGGAGGGTAGTAATAATAGTCTTCATACCTATTAAGAAAGAGAAACATGCAATTATTTATCTTCAAAAGTCTCCCAAAACAAAGTTTAATTTTTCCCTTGCTGATTAACAATACACAAGATGGAGAACAGAAAAGTCATTCAGGTTCTTCTAAACTAGCTCGTGTTTTACAGAACTTCATTCTGCAGTATTACAGTAGTGCAAAAATGAACACTCACGCAGTACTTCTGGAGGCCTGTCTGGCAGCCTGACGTTCTTTTCTTTTCTTATCCGGTGGCTTTGCTAACACTATTTCAATTTCTTCCCCTTCTATCTCTTTCCCATTCATTTCATTCATAGCCTGTACAAAAATTAGAAGAGAAGCGTCTAAAAATTTGTTTCCATTCACAAGGAAACTAAAACTTACTGAAAGAAACCAGATGGTTGGGCTGCTCCAGGCTGAACTAGGCCATGGTGCTTCATTTCTGTGCTACTTGATGTTACATATCATTCTTTCAAGACCCACTTTATTCAGTAGTTACAGTGAAGCAGCATTTAAAAAAAAAACAACAAAAAACAAACCTCTTTATATCCTTTATATCATAAGTTAAAAGAATGGGATTAGAACATATTATTATTTTTTTAAAAAATCAGACATAACATCATCACTTTTTAATGTTCCTATATCCCCTAGAAATGTTTCAGAAATACACTGACAGTTCTCACTACTCACACTGTTCCTGTAAGCCAGGTAGAGCACATGCGCTCAAGAGAAAAAGAGTATTTTTATATTTGGGCTTCCTAGGTAGTTGACGGTGCTACATGAGTGCCTCTGAGGAAATCAAGTATTTCTGAGGACATGTAGTTAAGTGGGGGAAAAAACTTCTTAAACTTGGTGATCTCATCAAGTGAGGCAAGAATCCACCAGAAAAGTAATGTGTAATTTGTAATTATCAAATGCATGAACAAAGAGAACGTAATATACATATAAAAAGTACAATTAGGACTGCATCCCCCAATTCTTTACCTGGAGTTACCTGCTTTGCATTTAGTATTTCTGGGTATTAATACTTGCATTAACAAAGACTTTAGATATCTGTACAGCTACATGCCTCAAAAGCATTAGAGATCACAGTGATTTATTTCAAAGAAGGTATAAAAATAAGTAGACACTAGAATCAATGAGCCCATTCCACACATTAATACCATAATGTTTTCATTAAAAAACAAACACCACACCCATACACAAAAATATCTTACAAAATTCATAAACCAATTTAGTGGCCATAAATCAGTCACATGGGGTAGATGTGGTAGTATTTCAGCTTGTTTCAGAGAAGATGAGCATTAGAGATGCTCTGCCGTATTGCATATGATCTATCTTTTCTCATCTGCTACAAGTTTTCAGTTGCTCAAATCTAACAGAGCATTTAGAAGTAAGGTCTACTGGGAAGGGACTGAAGAGTGTTCAAATATATACTAAAATAAAACATGTCAGGAGGTGTTGCTGACTCACTCTTTCTGTCAACAACACTTACACTCTCTTGGACGTGGTCTAAACCTATACAAACCGACTTCAACTTCATTAAGTGTGAGTGACATTCATCCTAAAGCCAAACTCAAGAGTACTCTAAAGCCTAGTTTGGTAGGTAGGAAAATTGTAAGTGATGAAATGGTTATAAAATGTTTAGTAAGATTGAGTAAAGAGCCTTTGAACTGTCTACGTAGCCACATACAATACACTTGCTCAAGACTCCCAAGTGCCAAACACTTCCTCCCCTCCTTCCCCCATGAACTATGGATTTAAAAACCCAAACGGAGTAATTTCTGTAAAATTCAATCCACTGCATTACAAACAGCAGAGGTTAACGACCTTCTCAACTGCTCTTAGATACCAAGGAAGACACTTTTGAAGCTTACAATAATGACCTGCAATGTTTAAGTCATTTAGAAAACACCTTCTAGGGAGTATGTAGAGTTAAAAAGAGGTAATGCATTAAGGGAGTTGTTAATGCCATTCTTCTCCCCTTTGCAAGGCATTTTTTGAGTTACCTTGCAATTTCTATTCAATACTTTTGTCACTCCAAAACCACACACAGCCTTTAAATAGGGGTCTTTGAGAGAACTGATACCTTCTGTCAGTGTTTCCTCAGAAAAACTGGCTAGGTTGATCTTTTTTTTTTTCCTCTTCTCTAGACTCTCCTGCATGGGTCTATACCTCTTTTCCAGTCTACTTGTTAACTTGCTACAGTTTGTCCTTTGCAAGTTTCACATGCTCCTAGCTACTGAAATCATAGGAACAAAATCATTAGTGTTAAAATTCTCACAGTGGGAAGCTTTTTAAATGGGCTCTACAAACTGTCTTATCTAGATATTTAATGTAAAGAAATTCTTAAAACCATTTGTACAAAATAAAACTGCTCACATCAATTTAGCTAGGAAAGAATAATCAACCTACCTTGACTGCTGCACCTCTGTCCTCAAAATGAACAAAAGCATAATCCTTCAACTTCTTTACTCTTTCCAGCTTTCCAAATTCAGAAAACGATTTCTCAAGAATTTCTTCTGTCACAGTAGTGGCCAAATTTCTTACAAATAAAACTTTCACCTAGTGGAAGAATTAGAATGACAGCTATAATCTTTAAAAGTCAAACCTCAAAGGAAACTAACATAAACTAGTAAGATGTTATTCCCTCTCTGCATTAAGAAATTTTGGGCAACCTTGTGAATTCTGTACCTGTTTCCCCCCACCAAAAAAAAAAAAAAAAAAAGCGCCTTGTAGTTACCTGTATGAAGTTTCTACAACTTCTCTCCTTCCACAGTTCCCTTCCATGACCAGAAGAATATCCAACTTTGATTTTCTGCTTCTGGGATGCTACAAATCCCAGTAAAATTTTAGTAATAGACCTCAAGAGCAGCAAAGAGTTATCCCAGAACACAGGGATAAAGAGCACATTGTTCCCTATGCTGAACTGCACCTTCATCTCACTCTGGAAAACAGTTTTACAAAATACCCACCTAGTATTCATTATCAGCTGAAGCAGACAATGAATAGACTTACGTGCATATCCACTAGGATAACCCTGCACACTACTTGTTTAAATGTGAATAGTAGGTTACAACAGCATGTTCCTAACGTCTTACAATAACTAACTTGCAGTGCTCAGATCATGGCAGTTTGCATGCCTTACTACAAAAATGCCCTCTAATTGCTTTTTGTGTCTCAAAACTAGCATTGCTCAGCTGAAACAAATCTTTGTCACTATGACATAAAGAAATTCCTCCCAAAGCACAAGAGCATCCAGTTAAGTTTTTACTTACCTTCGCCATGACTTCTGGATCAGGTTCCTCTACTGGATCAGCCCATTCCACTGTCACAACGTTTCCCCAGACTTTTACTTTCCCACTCATCAGGCGGCGGCGAGCTTGTGCTGCTGACTTGTGATCCTCATATTCCAAGAAGCAGAATCCTCGATTCTTCTTTTTATCATCAGGTTGATGATACAAGATTACATCCACCAAACCCTCTGGAAAACAGGTCTTTAGTATTAAACTTCAAAGGGAAAGAAAAAAAATCTAGAGTCTACTCTAAAATGCCTTCACTTCTTTTTGTAATACACAGCCTCTGAATTTAACACCTGAAAGGGGGAAGAAGCACAAGCAAAACAAGTAACAGATACCCATCCAATTTACCCAGAAACAGGACACCTAGCACGTGAAATTCTCCAGAACAAACTTACCTCACAATTAGGCCCTGCAAAACATCAACCTGAACAGTTCACACAGAGTAACCTTTCTATATTTTGTTTTACCATTTTTACATTTTTGAAAAACAGTCAGCATTAACATGTGGCATCTCCCCTGCCTCCAGAGGAAGCTGGAAAGAATTTCTTCCACATCTCTCCAAAAACAGGAGAGAACTAAATGATATTCACTTTCTGTTTCCACCACTTCCCTGAACTATTTATAAATAACAATCCTAAAAAAAAAAGCAGTAGGTTAAAACTCTCCTACAGGAACAAGAGCAGGCAATCAAGACCTCAATCTCTCATTTAAAGCAGAAGCAGCCTTCCAGCGATGAGCTGACTTCTGTTCTTCTTACTTGTTGCATACACTAGGGAACAACATGGAAGAACTAACCAGAAGTTAATCTGTCATTAACTATTTCTACAATAGCATTCCCTCTAAATTGATTTAATATTCCCTCCTCCCCATCATTCCTCAACAATACATTTGTTTGAGGCTCCTCAAAAACTTGTCAGTTGTGAAAGGAGAATCTACTGTAGATCCAGTTACAAATACAGAGCCTTCAACAGGAAGCTAGAACAATGACAAAATTAGGACCTTTGCTTTTTTCCTGAGCTCATTTGTGCTGTTTCCATTTCAAATTGTAAACCTACAACATCATTCATTTAACAATCAATAAAACAGACACTAGTTCCTTTACACTCCACCATAAAATATATTTGATACATAATTTGATATATAAAATTTCTACCAGAAACGAACTTGGAACCCAACTTGGAAATAGTATAAATAATAGGTGAATGCATCTGTCAAATAACTAGACCTACAAGATAGAAAGACTGAATGGTATTTCAGGATAAGTTTGAAAAACTTGTTAAGAAGGTCTTACCTGTGACTTTACTGAACTCTTCCAATATATTCTCCTTAGTCTTGTTCTTTGGAATCGACCCAACAAATAACCTGTTGTTTGCCACGGAGATGCATACTCCAAGGTGCTTCCCAGGACGGATTTCATAGTTGTCACACTGAGAAAATAAAAAGCCATTCATTTGCTTTATCCACAATAATATGGAAAAAAGATCCCCCAAAACCATAAAATCAGCTATTTTGTTCATAATCTACTACTTTTAGACATAGCATTTTCAATGCACACTGCAAGAGAATTACTAGAACTGCAATATTTGGGTCAGCATTCACGTGGAAGAACATTGCCGAGCTTAGGTTTTCCACAGAATCTTTGGAAGTTCTGCTGAATGGAAAGCTGCAAAGAAACTGATGTACGAGCAACAACACGTAACAGATGCATGGGGTAAATTCATTCACCTACTGTTTATCTGAGACTTGAAAGATCTATCTAAACAATTGGTGACTGCTTCCTGTGCTGGGACTCAATGTCAGTCACTGCTGCTGTTATTAATAAGCAAATACATAGCATTATAGATACTACGAGTTCTTTCACTTTACTTTGACACTTTTAAACACCGAGCATATTTGCTGTGAGATACTCACAAGTCTAAGTCAGTGTGTGATCTTGTCCCCCCATCCCCCACAGCAGGGGGGGTTTTTTTTTTGCCCTTGTAAATGCTAGGATGCTACAAATTTTACTGTCAAGTTTTAAAACTTCCCATTAAAAAAAATTTAGTCCACTGCTTCATGCTTGTGCCCACAGTTGGATTACTCTGAACATCAAAACTCCCAACAGGTCTTTAAAGGTACAAGAGTTGAACCTTAAAAAAAAAAAAAAAAAAAGAATTCCAGATAGACGACATCTCTGTTTTAGGTAGGATTTTTAAACACAGCCTAAGAGGATGAATGTTTCATCATCAGCCAGCTTCTGAAAATCTCATCCAATTCTTTAAAATCAAGTTTTCAGCCATTTAAACATTTCAGGATTTTGCTTCACATACAACAGTGATTCAAAACAAAACAAAATTTTGTGTTCCAGTGCCATGAACTTAATCTGAATCTGCTTTTCAAATGATATCTTATTTTACAAAGCCATTTTACTTACAATCAATCCCACTCCCACTGGTACCTGCAAACACAAGCAGAAGGCCCACCTGGTGTAGAGAAACCAAGACTTGAAAATTTCAAGTTTATTTTCTGAAAGAACCTCACTTTGCTATCAAGGTTTAATTAGCTCCAAAATTTAGCACGTGTCTGCCCCATTTTCCTTTCCCCTAGTAGTCTACGAAAAAAATTTCACCTAAATACAAGCCTGGTCCCATGACCGGATATAATGGTACGGTGAAGGAGGCAGGGGAAAGGGAATCCAGATATAAGACTTAAGTGAATTTGTGTGAATATATTCCTTATTTGGTGCAATGTCCAGTGTATGGAGGTCAGTTTTCCATCAGTGGCACATTGCTCGCTACATCTCTTGTTACTTCAGCATCTTCCCTTTCATCTCCCTCAATCAATTACAATTTAAAGTAACAACTCTCAGCACCTTCAATTTGGTCCAAAAAAGAAAAAAGCTTCAAAACAATCTTCCCTTCATAAGTGACAGTAACTCATATCCACCAACTTCAAACACTGAAACCCAGAAGCAATCAATTGCAAAAACATATTGTTTGCATCTCTTTCAGGAAACATCCAAGCAGGTTCTATAAAGGAAAAACAGGCTAAGCAGGGACATGCAATCCCTAGTCCTGGAAGAGCCTAACGTAACAACCACAACTATTTCTAAATACATGAAAATATTTCAGAGAACAAACACAGAAACATTTAGAGGCAATGACTCCTTCTGAAGCCCTTACAATGCAACAGAGTCATTTCTTAAGTTTCCCTAGGTTTTGGGGGTCACCACCCTCCCACCATGCTTAACTAGATGTTTAGGGTTTTCCCCCTTTTCTTCATACAGGATCAGCTGAATTCTGCTAAGGCAAATGATATAAAGCATTTCACCTGTTTTGGTTCAAAGTACAAGCAGTATTTCATAGCCATATCCAAAACCTTGGGAGATACACATTGATCTGCCTAATTCTACTTCCTCCTCTCAGGCAGAGGCAAGGTCAAATGAACCGGGGCCCCAATCAGACTGCTGTTTCTCATTTTAACTTGCTAGAGATTGCTGTGTGTCCTTTGCCAAACCATCTAGATGCAGGCCAAGCCAGGCTTCCATGTAGTGAGCTGACTGCATGACTGCCATTGGAAAGAAGTAAAGGCCACTGTGAACCATAAAGAGCATCAAGTCAGAGACCTCCTCCACAGCAGCAGCAAAACAAAGCATCTCTAATTAGCTCTTTATAGTAGGAAGGGTGATAAAACTCAAACACAGTGAAGCTTCGGATTTCCAGTTCTAATCAAGTAAGCTCTTACTATAATCACCCAAGCACTCTAGCAGACTGCAGTAGGCTATAGCAGACTAAGGTCCTAAGAATAGAACATTATTTGTATATACTAAATGAAATCAGGAGGTAATTTTTAAGAAAGTAAAATTTTGAGTCTGTCAACGGATGTTTTAATGAAACACTTGACAGACTCCATCATCTAAGAGATTGCCAACATGCATGCTGTTTACATTATCTTGTCCAGTCTGAAAATAAGTTACTCACCAGTTTGACTGCTTCCTGTGCTGCATCTTTACTACAAAAGGTAATGAAAGCGTAACCTCTGTTTTGACCAGAAAGTGGATCCATCATGAGACGCAGATCCCAAATTGGACCAGCTTTCTCAAAGAGTGGTACCAATTCATCTTCATACAAGTCTCGAGGAATCTTACCAACAAAAACCTAAAAAGGAAGAGGACACTTAAATAAAGCCCTTTCAGAAATCCAAACTTACTTCTAATGCCTTAAAGTTTCTGGGAAAGGAAGTACATTGCAGCATGAACCATCACAGCAGAAACACTCTAGCCATCACTGCAATCATCATTATTATATGTCCTAATAAGTCTTCTAAACCTCCTGCTGTTAGTACTAGGTTTTACATATGGAAAAGCTGGTTTTGTTGGTTATACCGAAGAGGCTGTAAATTTCCACCACTGGAAATGGTTCTTACCTGGTTATAATTTTGGCAATTAAAAATAAAGACCTTACAGACTATCTAGTTTGGTATCCTATATTAAAGCAGGCCAAGCACTGCGTTGCTCTTGCAGTATTTTCGTATCATTCTGTAACTCAACCTTCATTAGAAAGCTACAGAGACAGAAAAAAAAAAAAATCTATAAAAATCCTTAAACTGCCTGATGCATATTCTCTACTTTTAATATATACTGTAAGCTTATTTCTAGTCTATTTGTTTCAGCTTCCACCAACTGAATGTTTTAATATTTGTCTGAGAAAATCTGGAGTCCTCCTGGTTTTGTTTCTTACCTAGAGCGATGACAATAAACTTTGGTAACGTTTTGTCAAGCAGTTTAATCTCTTCAGCTGAGGTCTCCCTAGAAAACTTTCCCCCTCCCCAATTGTTTAATCATTGCAGCTCTCCTCTGAATTCTCAAAATCTCTGAATTGCTAATACAAGCAAAACATTCCAAACACACATTAAGATAAAATTCTATTTATTTTAACTTCAAATATTTTTTGTAGTTAAAAAAAGCTAGGAGTCAACCTTTTCCATCTAGGCAAGGCATTGCCATAGTCATATCTGATATTGAAGGTTTAGCAGATAATTCCAAAACTAAAGACACTCAGAATGCCCATGTAACCATCGATAGGAACAAATCCATGAGGAAAGCATCATGACTCTGATTTTAAAAAAGTGGAACACACGTTATTTTCCTCCAAAGGAAAGACAGAACCGTAGATGTTTCTTTATGTTATACAGATATTCCTGAAATTCAGTTTCCAGAACATTTCTTTCACTTAGCTTAGCCTCTCTCAGTTCAGAGTGAATGCCAACCAACCATGATTTATTTGCTATTAGGGGAAAAAAGGAATGGATTTACTATACTGAGTGAAAATTTAATGGCAGAGCCAACTGGCTTTATCCCCCCATCTCCCTAAAAAGCTTAGAAATCCCTACAGATAGGTATTCACATTGCCATTACACCTAGAACATTTAAACCCAGAACCCATACACAGTTTTTAAAAACAAAAAACCAATACCATCATGGAAATGCACAAGATAAGAACTCCAACTTGCTACTAAGACAGCGAAACTGTCAACTGAACTCTCCAAAAACTGTAATTGTTTTTAAGTCAGTCAAATGTAAAAAGTCCACATTAAATTCTTTGTTTCAGATGCCACCGTTTCCAACAGAAACTGAAAGTGACACACCAGAACAGAAGATTTGAGAAAAAGAAAAAACCCTAATCTAAATACAAATAAAGTCTACTTTTCCAGCTATTTACCAAAGATTTGTCATCCTGAAAGCTTTTGTTTCCTCCTCTCTTTCTGGTCTCTTCGTCTCACTCTGTACAAACTTTAGACCACTGACAATTCCCCAAGACTGCTACCATAGTTCAGTTCAGGTAATACACTCTAGGAACCACTATGAGAAACAGAATTAAGGATTTAATTTGAATACATTCACATCTGACCTATATTCTAAAGTAACTTCCGTTTATAATGGAAGGACTAGATAACTCTGTGGGATTAATTCATATCCAAGTGAACTTGCTTGAGCCTGTAAACTTACTATGTTAATGAACTACAAGATCAATACTAGACATGACAAACACCAGGTGAACATCTTTCCAGGATCAGAAGAAACACCTGCAATAACTTTTTTTAGATATATTGATAAGCTTGAATAAAGTTCCTGAAATGCCAAAGAATGTAAATATCAGACCTCTTATTTCATTTTTTAGTTCCACAACAAGAGTACTGTAGAAAAACTTTGGAAATTAGCATTATCAGTGAAACAATGTAAGAGATCTTGTCTAAGTAGGATGCAACTGCATCACTTCCGTGCCTTTGTTGGAATCACTGACCATTAGACTTACTTTGTCCAGTTTTACTTCCTAAAGGACCTGTACAAAGTACTTTATTTCACTTCTTCCTTATTACTGTTTTAGAAGATCAATTATAAAAAGTCTTAACTAGAAAAAAAGTCCATTTCAGTTTCCTGAACAACTTTACAGAGCATTATTGAAGGGTAGAATTGACTTCTGCACTCTAGACGACGCGTCCTTCAGTTATTTCAACAACTGAGCCTCTTCTGTTGTCATCACAAGCTAAAAGAAGTGTACCACAGCATTGCAAGAGCTTCTTCAAAACTTCTCTCCTTTTAACAGTTCTCTTCATGTGCTTTGCAGTAAATTTTTCCTAAATGTCAGATTTAAGTGCTAATTAATGTAGGCAACATGACTGCTTCATCTCATCCAAATCTACAATCTTCATTAAAAAAAAAAAAAGGAAGTGGAAAAAAATTCTGGCACAGTGCAAAAACCCTTGAACTCCCACAGTTGTTCCAGTACAAAAGCGACATTCCATTTGTGTACTAAATCCATCACAAGCTTTGTCTAGTTCAATTCCTGCGGAGTTTGTTATACCCTTGCTTAAGTTAGAGTTATTTCAGTATCTGGTTCTTCCCAATCAATTTATTATAGACAAAAGCAGCTTAAATTACCCCAACATCTCCAGTAATATAACGTTTTCCAGACTGCAAGTTAGCCTCACAACGCTGCTCTGACTTTTTGTTACAAATTCTGACCACGCACCCACAAAGGAGCAGATGCAATGCCAACTTGCCATTCACAGAACTAAAAGTAATTTTGCATGTTTTGATGACATTCAAAGATGATGTTTATCATATACTTATCCAATAAATTTCAGCTCTGAGAAAGGACATCGAGCAATTCCTCCATTTTATACAGTCTAAACTGCTATACAGGTATCTAACCTTGCATATCATCTTAGCACATTACAGGCAAATAATCTATTTACAGAATTTTCATGGTTTTATTTCACAGCACTGAAAAACACGGAAATAGAAGTGTCTCAAAACTTTAGGAGTAGAACTTACTTTATCTGGAGACTCCTCAATAAAACTAAACCCAATCCAGCAATCAGTACAGACTCTTCACACTAGCTGCACTGGGCTAATTCTGACAAGTGCTTTCCCCCTATCCCTATTATAGTGGGGTAAAGGGCTGGTACTTTACAGTTACTGATGAAGCCTCCTGTTCTTCAAATCACGTGTTAAATAGTATTATATTCATTTATACCGAAAGGTGAAGGATGGAAATTAAGTACCCCATCAGTCACCTCCTTAATTTTGTGCTGTAACATTAGTCTGGACAGGTCATATGCATGTCAGACTTTTTTTACCCTCCTCTAAAGAAAAACCAAAATAAATAAATAAATATATA